CACATGTCTAAGACAAGAAATAAAAAGACACTCTGGCTTTTGTCATGCAAAGTCTTGCATGCCAATCTTATCTCGATTCTTACTAACTAAATATTTGATCTGAATGCACGCTGATACGTCGCTGAAACATCTCTTCTCACATCTGTGTCGATGTGCGATAAGATGCACCATGCCTTTATTAAGAGTTGCGCGTTGAAGATAAAAAAGAAGCGACTTTATTCATATCTAGGTAAGAAACTTCTTTTCTGTGGCTTGTATATGAGAGGACGAAAATTTATTTATTTCAACATGAATAAAAATTTAGAGGATAGTCGTTCTTCTTTCAAACAGAATCAAGAAATTCAAAAAACTCATTTTAAAAGACATGTTTGGATTAGCAAACAGAAGCAAATTCCATTTAGGATATTTTTTCTGTGGAAGTGTATAAAAAGAAAAGAATGATATTTATTGCTATTCTGACATAGTCCAGATTAACGATGGACAAATCGATGATGCACGTAATAAATGAAATGATTGCAGAATTATGTTTGAACATATTTGTCAAGTATGATAACTATGCCACATTCAACAAAATTTACTAGTCGAGAATATCCCAAGAATTGTCTCAAGCTGAAATCAACATCTCACTTGCGAGTCATGTTCAGCATGAAAATTGAGTCTTTAATGGTTTAATCGGTGTATAGCAAAGGTCTTATAGGCATTAGATTGAACGTATCCATGAGACGTCAGTTGAGAAAACTGCATGCTTCAATTCAGTTATAGAGACCATTAAGTGCTACAAGTAGCACCGTTTCTGTTTAAACTTGGAGTGAGTTAAAATGCCAGAAATGACTTTTAGAACTCGGTAGTCTCATAAACCCATGAATACTTCAAAAGCTTGCTGTCCCTGTCTGTTAAGTCTCCCACTATCACTAGAAAATTTGATTGCACACACACTTCGACTATTATTTCTACTGACTATCTCAAATTTTCAGAACACTTCCATCGCATATGGCAGATAATTGTAGGCGTCAAATATTGTAGCACACATGAAGTTATGTTTATTGTGAGACTTGCAATCCGTATCCTCGTTTGATAATGTAATATACATGCGGGTGTGGGTGTGGGTGTAGATGTGTGGGTGTGTGGGTGTGGGTATGGGTGTGGGTGTGGGGTGTGTGGGTGTGGGTATGGGTGTGGGTGTGTGGGTGGGTGGGTGGGTGAGGGTGTGTGGATAACTCCTGTATAACTATCCATACCTACACCCACAAACCCACATCTCGCACCCACACCCATACCTACACCCACAAACCCACACCTCATACCCACACCCAAACCGACACCCACACCCAGACCCAGACCCAGACCCACACCCCCACCCCCACCCACACACACACACCACCCACACCCACACTCACACCCACACCCACACACCCATACCCAAACCCACATCCACACCCACACCCACCCCACACCCACACCCACACCCGCCCACACCGATACCCAAACCCACACCCGCACCCACACTCACACCCACACCCATGAGGAGTAATTTGAGGATTTTTATCTTAGATAAACGGTATGATGACTGAAGAATACTTGCAGGATGGTTCTGTTCCAATCACAGCATCGCCAACATCAGTTCCATGTACACTCATTTGGTTAGAGACAAATGCTAAAGATGGATCGACAACAGAAAGGGAACTGAGTAATATTGTTCATGATGAGCTTCTTACGTTTGATAGTGCAGTTGAATGCCAAAGATATATTGAACATACGGTTAATAAAATTGTTTTAATCGTATCAGGAAGTATAGGATAACAGGTAGTTCCTCTGATACACGATTGTTCGCAAGTATTAGCTATCTATATATTCTGTGGTAACAAAGAATTTCATATTCAATGGTCCAAAGTATTTAAGAATGTAAGTTGACCATCAAATCATTTATATAAGTATGCTAGTGATTCACTCAATTGTTTTCAAATTTCTGTAAAAGGTGAAGAGCGTAGTCGTTCATCTGGATGATTTAATTGCTCAGATTCTTAAAGATTATCGATATCGTCAACATCTCTCAATCAACTTTTATCGTCCAAATGAAGAGAAATCGCATACAAAATTACAAGAAAATGCATCGTTTATTTGGCTACAGTTATTTATTGACATAGTTATTCGTTTGCTGTCAAAGGATGTAGCCAACACAAAGATGAACTAGTTGCCTATCTTCGTCAAAAATATTCTCATACTCAATCACAAATTCATCGATTTGATGAGTTCCAACGAAACTACACATCAGAGCAGAGTATCCAATGGTATACAAAAGATGGATGCATTTATTCTACATTGAATAAAGCATTACGCACAAGAGATTGGGAAACATTAATTAAATATCGATTTTTCATACAAAATTTATATAGACAATTTGAACGTGAACAAGGCACTCAGAAGTCTGTTTCTGTTTCGCCAGTAATTCATGTATATCGTGGACAACTAATGTCTAAAGATGAACTACAACAATTACAGAACGAGCTTGGCCAGTATATTTCTGTTAATTCACGTTTTTCGACTAGCAAACAAGAACAGGTAGCATTATTCTTCACGTCAGCACACGATATGAATGATTAATGGCAATCCATTCTCTACGATATTGAAATTGACACTAGTGTATAATCATTACAACCTTATGCACCCATCTCTCATTTGAGTGATTTCGGCAAGGAAGAGGACGAGATATTGTTTATGGTGGGTACGGTCTTTCGTATAGGGTTGTGCATAACCTTTTGCTAGGGGGGTAGCGCCATTATTTCAAGTTGAATACCTAATGAAATTTATACCAAATTAAAGAGCGTCGAAAACTGGATTTCTTAGTACTAAATAGTAAGGGTTATCAAAATATGGTAATGTCGAACTTACGAAATTTTCGGAAATTTTATGCTTTTTTTAGCATAAAAAATTAAGGCACCGGCAATTTTTTATAGGTAAGAGAAATACTCGATTTTTTCAATAAAATTAGGTTTTTTCATTATTTTTACTAGCAAAGACGCTTCGAGATATACTCGTCAGACGCAGTTTTTCACGCTGCACCGGAGAAGTATATTTCGAAGTGTCTTTATCAATAAAAATAATGAAAAAAGCTAATTTCATTGAAAAAATCAAGTGTTTTTCTTCCATATAAAAAAAACGAGTTTGTAGAGATTTTTTAGGATTTTACAAGTAATTTTTTAAATTTTTTATCTGAAAAAAATGGCTTAAAAAATTTCTGATATATACAATTTTGTAGAGCTCGACGAGCTCTATCGAACCATATAAAAATATCAAAAGAAAATATCTTACTCTATATTTGAATTGGTGGTGCCTTCATTTTCTATGGTAAAAAAAGCATAAAATTTCCGAAAATTTCGTAAGTTCCACATTAAAATATTTCGAAAACTCTTACTATTTAGTACTAATCAATCCATTTTTCAACGCTCTTTAATTTGGTATAAAATTCATTAGGTATTCAACTTGAAATAATGGCGCTACCCCCCTAGCAAAAGGTTATGCACAACCCTATATATTAGATGTAAAACGAGACGAAGAAAGACAAATCTATATATTAAAACTTCAACTCTCCAAGAAACATGTACATCAATTAAAAGAACTGTATCGATATAGGAAAGAAGAGCTCTCCTCACAAACTAGATTGGACGATCTTGAATCATTATTTTTTGAAATGGGAATTGCAACAGATCAAACGAAGCATGCTATTTCATATGTTCAGATTGATCGTTATAAGGAAGTGAAATGCCAAAGTACAGAGAATAAACAAGATAGTCCGCTCGCACGTGGCATAGTCAAACTTGCCTCCACGGTTTATCCATCAGAAGCTACATATAATCGTTTAGCTATTGAATATGTGAAGAAAGGTGATTATGATTTAGCCTTGGTGAACTTCGAACGAGTTTTAACGATTCAAATACAACGTTATGGTGATGCGCAAAACATTCACATAGTCAGTACATATCACAAATTTGGTCATGTTTATGAAATGAAGAAAGATTATGATATGGCAATACTTTATAACAAGATGTCAATAGAAATACGAGAATCACTAAGTACCACAAACAAACAACACCTTGATTTAGCTGAAAGTTACAAGAGTATCGCAAATGTGCATTATCATTACAACGAATACAAAATAGCCCTAACATTTGACGAAAAAGCTCTGAAAATTTATTTGAAAACCGTACCAAAAGATGATTTCAATGCTGCAAAATCGTGTCATCGTATAGGTATCATATGCGAGGAATTAAAAGAATATGAGACAGCATTTAAAAATTATGAAGAAGCATTTAAACTATACAAAATAATCTACTCGTTTAATTACAGTCAATATAGTGACGTTCACCACAATTCATTGATGAGAGATATTAATCGTCGTCTATTGCGAATGCTCCCTATCGTGAAGAAAGCCGATGCTGATTTAGAACAATTAGACAAATATTATAGAATGTTTAATGAAGACCAAGAGAAAGAATGTATCATGTTCAATGGAGAAGTTTTGTCATGGCAGATTAATGATATGAGTAGATAGTGAGTTGCTCTACAATCTTTCTGATTCAAATAAGTATTTTGTTACGCATCAAATGATGATTTCAACAGAGTTACTGAATATATACAAGAATTCACAGCAGAGCTGCACTAACGATTTTGAGGCGTGTATGTAAGTGTGGGTGTGGGTAGAGATGTGGTACAAAAAAAGCTCTGGCAGGGCACCGATCCATACCCAGCCATATATGTCAAACTTGAAACTTGAAATTTCAACTAAATTCAAGTTTCAAATTTGACACTAGTGCCATGCCCAAAGTTCAAGTAAATTAAAATGTGGTTTCTCTTTAAGTGTCAATAAACTTCTATTTTATTAATCGAAGAAACTGTTTACACACACTTTAAAGTTTTCCTTTGATCGTTCTGATACTTTAAGTCTTTGCTTGCCTTCTTGAGACAAATTACAATTATATATTTGAAGTTTGTTCAATGACGGATTATTTTCGATCATCTGAAGAAGATAATCGATACTTTTATCAGTCAATAATTTGTTTGAAGAAAGATCCAAACAACTGATTGTTGTGTTATAATTTCCAATTGCATCAGTCAATATTTGAACCCCATGATCATTTATTTCATTCTCTCCAAGATAAAGATGAGTTAATATTTTATTTGTTTTAATCATTTCAGCAAGATATTTTGCACCTATTTCTGTAATTCCATTTTTTGAAAGATTAAGCCGTTCGAGAATATTATTATTGAGTGAAAGTATTTTAACAAGAAAATAAACACCATCATCACAAACTTGATTATCAGATAGATACAATCGTTGTAATGTTTTGTTATTATTCAATGCCTCGGCTAATATCGAAACACAGACCGATGTCATTTTATTTGATGATAAGTAGAGACATGTGCATTGTTTTTTTATAATAGCTTCTTGAATAACAATGTCCATATCTCGATCAATTAATTTTTGTCCTTTCAAATACACTTGTGAATTACTTTTTTGTTGTCGAATTTTTTGTTCAAGTTTTAGATTTTGATATTCATTTGTTTCTAAAAGACAAAAAAAGATATATTGATGGACAAAAGAAACTCATTGATCATTATTTTATTTGGTAAAAGAGAGAAAGTTTTCCTTTGTTTTTTTCTGATCATATTATCAAATTTAACCATAACTTGAAATTTTAATTGATTTTCAATGAGATATCATTATATTCGTTTACCTAGTACATATTTTCCTCTTTTTCTTAAGCATTTAGTATCAGTTGCTGACTGATCCTGATACACATTGAATCGAATTCTTGTTTTTCTCTGACATTGATCACCATCTTCAGGCTCGATTTCGAGCATTTCATCATCTGTCGATTGACTATTCAATTGTGTAAAACATGTACTGTGACAATCATTAGTATCGTTTATGTCATCAATATTCGATGAATCGTTTTGTTCATTGTCACCATGAAAATTGTTCGTTTCAATTTGACGGTGATTCGAATGATTTTGGAATCGTTGTATAAATGCAATCAAATGATTTTTAGTATTTTCAAATTCTTTTTTTTCAATCTGATCAGTTTGTTCACACGGCTGCTCGAGCTGCTGTAGTTCTTCTTTAACAGATTGTTTATCTATGGAAAGTTCACTGTATTGTCTCATCTGTTCATCAATTTGTATTTTAAGTTTTTGATTTTCGCCTTTTAACTCTTGAATTTGTTTTTCACTGTTGTTCACTTGTTTACTAAGATTATTAAGTGTATCTTTAAGTTCTTCCATTTGAACTTCTGGTTGGACTTGATGTTGCATTTTGAGTTGTTTATTCTCATTTTCCAAATCTTTTATTTGGATGTCATGGTTTTTTAATTGATTATTCAATTGTGTAATTTGATCATTAAGTGCTTCAACATGAATTTGATGATCTTGTTGACCTTGTTGTTCGAATTGTTTGATTTTTTCTTTAAAAATTCGATTCTCATTTTGAAGTTCATTATATTGTATAGTTTGTGCATCAAGTTGTTGTTTAAATTGTTCATTCTGAATTTGATACATATTCAATCGATCATCATATTCTTGTATTTTCATCTTTTGTTGCTGATAAGATTGTTGTTCAGATTGATTAATTTCTTTAATTTGTTTTTGATACTCATCCTCGATTCTTTTTATTTCTGTCATTGTGTTATTTAATTGATGTGTCAATTGTTCGACATATGTATTCAAATGATCATTGGTACTTTCAAGTTCTTTAATATGATTTTGATACTGTTCTTCGATCTGATCGATTTTTTCTTTAAGAAGTCGATTTTCACTTTGAAGTTCATTACATTTTATTATTTGCTCGTGGATTTGTTTGTTCAGACATTGATTTTCAGTTCGTAATTCATCTATTTGAATTTGATCTTTATTCACTTGATCATTATATTGATCAACAAATGTATGAAGATGATTGTTAATATCTTGAAGATCATTAACATAGGTTTCATGTTCTTGATGAAAGGTTTTTTCCAATTGATTTGCTTTTTCGTTCAATTGTTGATTTTTACTAAAAACTTCAGCAAAAATAGATCGAAATGGTTCAAAAGCAAGTATTGATGATGAATGTTGATACAATTGATCTTGTTGTTCATTTTGAGGACATTGATTATTTGTTAATAAATTGTGCGTATCCACTTTGAAATGTTCGTTAGGATCTCTACGAATATTATCGATCTTCTTTTGTACAATCGGATCAACATCTGTCACATCGTAAATAGAAACAATCTGTTGACAAATTGGACACAATTTATTATTCTTTTTAAACCATTGTATAATACATGTTTTGCAAAATATATGTTTACATGGAAAACATCTTGGATCGTTGAAATATCTATTACATATATTGCATATTGTTCCATAATCAATATTACTTGACATTTAATTGAATAAAAAATATTATCTAAAAATATAATGAAAAAGAATAAAAATTGAAAAGAAATTCGTATAGATTTTAGCTTAGAGATATAACTAAAATAGAAACGATTTTCGATTAATATACTCTGTCTAAGTATAATTTTATCTAATCAATCAATGTATTTTTATTGATCCATAAGGTTGAAATAGAAACATTCTTTTTTCCGCTTGAATGATTTGGTTGTGTCTGTATTATGGTCCTTCGATATAACAGATACGCTATGTGTACATATATATTTTATAACAACGAATGAAACGACAAAATACATTTACATATGATATTTTTATTATGTCTATTCTTTTTTCTCTCGCTCTGTACATTTTATGATGAGTTACACGTGCGAAAAATGAGTCAAGAAAAACTAATTAATAAATCAATCAATGAAAAACGACTTTTTTTCTTCATGAAAAAAAAATCGACGATTGAAAGTTGAGTTACATTTTGTTCTGAAACAACTAATTCGGCATAGAGCGCATCATTTTCTATTTCGAATAATGGCGTAAAAATTAATTAATTACCAAAGTTTGATTCAGTTTGTGTAATCTTGAGTTTCGGAATAGCACGATCCAGATTCCATACCCATCGAAAAAGATGATCATCAGCTAACATTAACTTTGTCATACTTGTTCGAAATGATTCAATCTAAAAACAAAAAAAGAATCATAAAAAAAATACAAATATTTATGCGAAACTTCAACGAAAATATTAAAATACCTACTGAAGGAAACGATAGACTGATGAAGAAAATGTAAGTGTAGTTACTATGACAGAAATTTTTGTGATTTCGATTGTTCATATCTTATCAAATTTTCGAGTGTTTCTTGTCTGTTTTTAGTTTTTGAATCAAAATAATTCACAAGAGATCTACTTGAAGTTTTACTTTTCATTTGAATTCATTTATATCTCATTCGATCGAGCACATCAAAATAGTAAAAAGACCAAAATGACTTTTCTTCTTTGATTATTCCTTTAAAAAATTATGCAGGCTTGCATTATTTTCTTTTCTAAGACTCAGACAATGTTTGATAGCTAGAGTGAATTAAAAATATTCAACAGAGTTACATTTAACTTCATGTTTTCGAACACTATAGATTATTCAGAATGGCACAGAGTAGAATTCAGTGAACACTCAATTTCAATTTCTATCAATTGGCATAAGTCCTTGATAAAAGAGCGTGCAGAGTAGTTCCATAGGCTCTGATGATACAAAGATCGTTAACATTATGACGAATAAAATGCTTGATACTTTTTCATGGCACAATAATGTACTTTCAAAACTATTCACTATTTTTCATGTATCACGAATATGATGAAAAATTTCATCTGTGAACAATCACTTTTATCATCTAATAATGATATGAAGAACTTATTATTGTTGTAGCTAGAAAATTCCTAGGTTTCATTCGAAGTCAATTAAAAACAATAGTTCCTCATTTTAATGAATTTTTTCATTATCGATCATTTGATGTTGATGTTATTTCAATTCTATGTGAAAAATAGGTCGACTATATTTAAATGAAGAGAAGAAACACAAAAAAGAGTAGGCTTTTTTTCTAGAAAAGATTAAAAGAATTTGTTAATGCAAATTCTGCGCGATGAAAATATGAAAGATGATGTAATTATAGTCGTCAATCACATGAAGACTCTTACATTTGATATATTTTTCGATAGATTTCTGTCAAGTCGTAATAAGTAAGCATCTTTCAATTGACATACTATTGGATGATATCTTTTTATCATAATGGTAATACGATGCTGCCTTGGAAAAAGATAGTTTTCGTTATGTTTTTCAAAGACTTTTGCATCACTTATTAATTATAAAAGAAATAAAAAACGCCTATCATCAAAAACAAGGCAAAATCATTCATTATTCATTAGAATGCTATTCAATTATAACATATATTATTTCTTTTTCTATAATTATCATTCTCAAAAGGAATATTTTCAGAATATCGCACATTATAGCGTTATTCTCAAATTCTCCTCTTGAATGCTATTGCTTTTTTTTAATCAGTATTATTGATGTGTTAGTCTTTTCTCACCTTTCTATTGTTTATTTGATAGAGAAAATCATTCTCTTAAACGTTATGCTGACCAATTTTTGACAACTAACTAATTATTGATTTATTTTCACAAATTAGAATCACGTAATGATAGTTCTTCTGAAATATAATTTATGTTCTACAACGGTTACTTTTTTTCGAAAGATTGCTTAATCTACATAGTTCATATCTATATCTATATAAATGTATGTGTAACATGATTATGCCTAGTTATTTTTAACGAGATTCTTAGTTTCGTCAAAAGACCACCATTAGATGTTTTTTATTAGTTTCTTTGTATTAACTAGACTGCGCGTTACTGACATTGTCATTCTTTACTATGCATGTCCTTTAGAATTAAAGTATGAGTCAATAAAAAGACAAAACATTTTCGATTGAAATGTCAGTGTGATGTGATAGTCACTGTTTTTTCAAAAAGAGAGATGACTTTTATGATGAATTTCCGACTTTGAAGAAAGAATATTTGATTTTCAAGTTTTTGATTCTGTAATCGTGAATGAGACTCATAAACAAGGTCGAAGCACGTCATGGTTTTCTTGACTGGTTTACAATCGAAGTATTTGATGATTACAAAGTGTCAATATAATAATATATCAACATTTGTCAGAGCTGTACATTATGTATTTAGGCACTGCATAAAAAAATAAGGGCAAAAGATAAGCATAAAAATAAAAATTAAGATAAAAAACTGAAAAGGTCAAACGTTGACATTCGAAGTCAATAAAAAATTTTAATAAAAGCTTAGAAGTTTTTAGAATGTCACATTTCTTGGAATGTGGATAGAGGTGATATTTATAAGACGACGCATACCCACATCCAAATTAAAAGTTAATTATTATTTCGTATACGAGTAAGTTTAATAAGATCATGTTGAATACTATGACCAGCTGTCATCGTATGCGGGAATATTCGTCGGTGTTTTCGCCACAATTTAGGATACGATAAAAATGCAACGATTGGATAAAGTAATTGAACGATAAATGGCATTAAATAAGTGTAGTTCACTTGCTCTTCGATAAGAAAATAGGGTAACCAAAATAAATTGATTACTAATGTCAAGTTTAATGGCATCCACAAAATAACATAGAGAAGTGTAATCGATAATAATTGTAATGTCATCTTTCGATCTCGTTTCCATTTGTAGGCTTGCAATTGCATCGATCGTTTTTGCCAGATAACTCGTATAAAGAGTAAAGTAGATGCAATTGGTATGATTAAAAATGGCAATCCAATATTGACAATTACTTCAATAGCTGGAAGTATTTTATCACTGTAATAACATGGCCAAAGACAGAAACGCTGAGAATAATCGTATGTACTTTCACAAGGATAGATAGCGATGGCTCGAATGTAGGAAAACAATGCATAAAGTGGAATTAAATCATCGGCATATAATGGAAAAAGTGTCGTTTTATTGATGAATTAGTGAGATTTGTATGAAATATAAAAATATGTCGTTCGATAGAAGCAAAAGCCATAATTAGCAAGTTACTAGTACTGGTGCTATAAGCAGAAATATTAGCATAGGAACAGAATAAATTCGATGATGGCCAGATATATGAACGACGCCAATAATCTTCAAGAATTCCCAGAACATTCGTATTGAAGAAAAGACTTATTAATAACAAGAGAAGAATAGTATGATTGGACAATGATTGACGCAAACGTGGATTGGATATCAAGTAATACATGAGAACGATTGAGCAGAAACACGAAGGCACTTGAACAATAAGAAAAACTATCAATTTAAGCCATCATTCATTTTCTATCATTGGAGAAAATACTATGTCATCCGTAGAAGTATTCATCGAAGGACTATTTTGACAAACTGATAATGTGAAGAACAATCAAGAAAATATGTACTTTTTCTAACGTGAAGATATCATTAGAGCACAACGAACTCGGTGACATGAAAGAAAATAAGATTTCTTCTTTGTTCTGAAGCTATTTTTTAAACTCTTAGTATACAGTGAACCATGGTTTACACTGTTACTATATTTTGCATAGCTGTGATATTCTCAATCAAATATATTGTATTGGTGATTATCTCTATTAACTGATGAGAAAATATAAACTTCTCATTCTTACCGTAAAAAATTATCATCGTCTTTTTACTTTCAAGTCATTCGTGAAGATTTGTTATTGCTCACAGGAAACAAATGCATTCTTTCAATTATCATTATATTCTGATTGGTTCGATTGTATCTTCAAAACACAAAACAATATAATTACAAATTCTTGTCATTTATAGAAATACTGAATATGACGGAAATATATGCATCCTCACTAGCTCATTTTCATTTATTGTTTCTTATGACGGCGACATGTAATCTATCATTTAAAAAACTAAATATGAGAAAAAATAAATCTCAGGACTCTCATTATGTAGTTCGAGAAAAACAATTTTCATTTCTTTGCTATAACGAACTAAAATTTGAAGTATACTATCCGATAGAAAATCAAAATTTTTGTAAATTAATTCGAAAGAGTTTGAAAACGTGATCTCACAAAGTGGACAAAGCGATATATCATTCTGGTGGAGAAAGACGATAATTTGGTGAAAGTCAAAATTACATCTTTCCAAATGTTTGGAAGTTAACTTCTGACAAGAGAAAAATAGCCTATTTTGTGTTGACTTTGATGCTGCTTCTATTAATATTCTTGGAAAAAAATATGTTCTTTTTTATATGAAATCAAAGACATTTCACATAACATCTAGAAAAAAAATGGAATGTCGAAGGTCTTTTCACAATTACTAAGAGTCTGAAAGTCTTTTGTTAAAACAGAAATTCCCTATCCAATTGTATACTATAAATTTAATTTTATTACATTGAAGAAGCGAACATTTATTTTTTCCCAATTACATAGTGATGGTTTTGAGATTTAACTTTTGTACTATA